CCTGTTATGAGTATAAAATGTCCCTCTCCATCTCTTCTGATTGATTTAAGTTTGAAGTCAACTTTGTTAGAAATTAGTATGGCCACACCTACTTGTTTCTTAGGTCCATTTGCTTGATAAACCTTTTCCCAGCCCTTTACTCTGAGTAGGTGCCTGTCTTTGTGGTTGAGGTGTGTTTCTTGTAAACAGCAGAATGTTGGATCCTGTTTTCGTATCCAGTCTCTTAGCTTGTGCCTCTTTATAGGTGAGTTGAGTCCATTGATATTAAGTGATATTAATGACCAGTGGTTGTTAACTCGGTCATTTTTTTCTTTTTGGTAGTAGAGTTTGTGTGTTTCCCTTCTTCGAGTTGTGCTGGTGAAGGGTCACTAGATATCTGAGTTATTGTGGGCATTGTTGGACTCCTTGGGTTGTGATTTTCCTTCTATTACTTTCTGTAAGACTGGATTTGTGGCTACATATTGTTTAAATTTGTTTTTATCCTGGAAAATTTTGTTTTCTCCATTTATAGAGAACAAAAGCTTGGCTGGGTATAGTAGTCTGGGCTTGCATCCATGGTCTTTTAGTTTCTGCAGTACATCTATCCAGGACCTCCTGGCTTTCATGGTTTCCATAGAGAAGTCAGGTGTAAGTCTGATAGGTTTACCTTTATAAGTAACCTGACCTTTTTCCTTTGCAGCTCTTAATATTCTTTCTTTATTCTGTATGCTTTGTGTTTTGATTATTATATGGTGAGATTTTTTTTTTGTCCAGTCTATTCGGTGTTCTATATGCTTCTTGAACCTTTAAAGGAATATCTTTCTTTAGGTTGGGAAAGTTTTCTTCTATAATTTTATTAAATATATTTTCTGGACCTTTGAACTGTACTTCTTCTCCTTCTTCTACCCCTATTGTTCTTTGGTTTGGTCTTTTTATTGTGTCCCAGATTTCCTGAATGTTTTGTGATGAGAATTTGTTGGTTTTACTGTTTTCTTTGATCAGTGCGTTTATTTTCTCAATGGTATCTTCAATGTCTGACAATCTTTCTTCTATCTCTTATAATCTGTTGGTAGTACTTGTCTCTGTAGTTCCTGTTCATTTACCCAGATTTTCCATCTCCATCCTTCCCTGGGTTTGTGTTTTCTTCATTACTTCCATTTCATTCTTCAAGTCTTGAACCGCTTCCCTTACCTGTTTGATTGCTTTTTCTTGTTTCTCTTGGTTTTCTTGGGTATCTTTGAGCGATTTATTCATTTCATCTACCTTTTTGTTTGTAATCTCTAATTGTTTATGGCAGTTTTTCACCTCCTATTTAAGGTCTTCTATTATTTTCATATAATTCACTTTTGAGTCGCTTTCTTCTAATTCTTCTGGAGTAGGGTGTACAATTCTTCTTATTTCGGGATCCCTGGATTCTGGTGATGTCATGTTGCCTTTCAGATTGTTAGAGGAATTCTTGCCTTGGCGCCTTCCCATCTCTTCCTTCAAATGGAGCCAGGAGAGGCCTGGTTTCTTGGTCCAGTCTTTGCTGTGACTGACTCTCTGGGTGTATCTCCTCAGTGTAGAAGCAGGAACTGTTCCTGTCAAGATGGAACTCCTTAGCACCGAAACAGGGATGCCTGGTAGTCCAATGACCCGCAGACAAAGGGCTAACTTGAGGGGTGGGGCGGGGTCGAGTAGAACACAGGAGACCCTGCCGCACAAGCTGAAGGTGCCTGTGATCCCTTTTAGGGGTCCTTGAGGCCTGACCCTCCCAAGCCTGCCCTGCAGGCACTCACCGCTCTGGGTGGGTAGCCTTAGTGTAGGAGCAGGAAACTGTTCCTGAGCAAAGGACCTTGGAAACAATGCAGGCTTGGGGGCAGGGTCATGTGTAGGGAAGACAGCCCTGCAGAAGGAGCTGGGGGAGGGGAGGTTTGTGCTCTCTTCCGGGACAATCCGCCCCTGGATCACACACACTCACCCATCCAGATGGAACTCCTCAGCACCTAAACAGGGACGCCTGGTAGCCCAATGAGCGGGGGACAAAAGGAAGTGGCAGGCAGGGCGGGGTCTAGTAGAGCACAGGAGACCATGTAGCACAAGCTGAAGGAGCCTGGGCTCCCTTGCGGGGGGTGGGGGTGGGGGGGGGACCTTGAGGCCTGACCAGTATGCAGGCACTCACCGCTCTGGGTGGGTAGTCTTAGTGTAGGAGCGGAAAACTGTTCCTGAGCAAAGGACCTAGCAGACAGCAGGGCAGGCTTGGGGGGGGGGGGGCTGGTTCGTGTGTAAGAAAGACAGCCCTGCAGCAGGAACTGGGGGAAGGGGGTTTGTGCTCTCTTCCGGGATAATCCGCCCCTGGATAGGACACACCTGTCCAGATGGAACTCCTCAGCACCTAAACAGGGACGCCTGGTAGCCCAATGAGCCGGGGACAAAAGGAAGCTGAAAAGTTCATTTTTTAACCATCCGAGAACCCAAATTTTGAAGTCTGAAATGCTATAAAACCCTAAAATTTGAGCATCATGTGGGTGTTTGTTTCACATTTGAAGCCTTTTACTTTTGGTGGCTCTCAGATTAGAGCTGCTCAGCCTATACTTAGGAAAAGCTTCTAGAAAACTAAAGGGAGGTGTGGAGACCTGGCTCAGTGCTTAAAGCACCTGCTGCCCTCTCAGAGGAGATCAGGTCCCAGCAACAGTGGGTGGCTCACAGCCGTCTGGTTCTCCAGCTCTGGGGGACCTGAAGCCCTCTTCTGGCCCCCATGGACATCTGTGCTCACGTGCACACTCCCTACAGACACTTGATGTACACAGAATTAAAATCTTTTTTAAAGTGGTCAGTGGTTGATAAGAGCTGTGTTTGTTGGATTCTTGTGAACTCCTTGACCTCCTGCATTTCCTTGTCTTGTTTAGGAAGTAGAGATAGATATTGAGCTGGCTCCTGGTGACCAGACCAGCACACCCAAAACCAAAGAGCTTTCTGAGAAGGACATCGGGAACCAGCTGCACATGCTCACCAACAGACACGACAAGTTTCTCGATACTCTCCGGGAAGTGAAGGTCTGTGGGCAAGTTTGGGAGTGAATATCTTCTGCCTCCGTCTTATTTCAGAACAGGCTCTTTCCCCACCAGTATTAATTTTTCTCTCACCAGTTTCCCTTGAGTTTTTCTTCGTACCCCAGTTAAAACTGTTCTAATTCTGGGAGAGTTTGGATTCGACATTTAGTATAACCAAGGAAGCAGATAGAGGATTTTATGGGGAAAAAATAGGCATTGGTTTCTCTGCCACTTAGTGCCCTGTGGGAATGGTGAAATCATTTAGTGCCGCCTGTAATGAGCAGTGACTCTGGGTTCTTGCTCAAGCACCTCAAATCAGGAGACTCGGGAAAGTGTGAAGGCGGGCTGGATGTATGGGAAAGAGCTTCCCCATGTGCCCTCTGTGGGTGGTCTCAGTTTCTTCAGATAGCTATGGCTTCCACAGACTCTGCTTAATCATGGACATGGACATTACTGCGTTTTGACTCTGTGAACAAGGTTTTGTGCACACAGTCACTTTTGAGAAGTAGAATCACTGGTGCTGTTTATATCAGGACTAGTAGGAAGGAAAACCAATTAGTTGCCAGTGATTTCTATATTACATTTTCTTGGTAAGCAGCCTGGCCTTCCAGTGTCCGCATGGATAGAGGTGACGCACCATGTGCCGCCCTTTATCTGCCATTAATGCTAGAAAGGAGGACTGTGGGCCTGTCCCCAAGCTCAGGGGGCTGACTCGGCTGCAGCCTCGGTGTCCCTTTGACAGGGATGCAGAAGGCACATGACTCACCTGAGCCATCCTCTTCTGCCCACAGACGGGGGCGCTGCTCAGTGCCTTTGTCCAGCTGTGCCACATTTCTACAACGCTGGCCGAGAAGACCTGGGTCCAGCTCTTCCCGAGGCTGTGGAAAATCCTCTCCGACAGACAGCAGCACGTGAGTCACATCTGAAAATCATTGCTGCAAGAATGTAGTTTTAAGCCGGGCGGCTTTAATCCCAGTACTTGGGAGGCAGAGGCAGGCGGATCTCTGTGAGTTCGAGACCAGCCTGGTCTACAAGAGCTAGTTCCAGGACAGGCTCCAGAACCACAAAGAAACCTTGTCTCGGAAAACCAAAAAAAACAAAAAAAAAAGGGTTTTGTGGCGGGCGGCTTTAATCCCAGCACTTGGGAGGCAGAGGCAGGCAGATCTCAGTGAGTTCAAGGCCAGCCTGGTCTACAGNAGGAATGTAGTTTTAGCTTTTGATAGATAATCCTAAATGAACACCATTCTGGGTTCCAGAGTATGATAAAACTACTGACTCTCACCCAAGGACCAGTTATCATAGTGCTACAAGTGATGAGGGAGAGAGAAAGAAAGAGTCTCAGTATATATCTCAGGTTAGCCACAAGATCCCCCTCATAGCCCAGGCTGGCCTATACTAGCCATCCTCCTGACTTGACCTCTCCAGTCCTGGATTGCGGCGTACAGCAGCACACCAAGTCCAGGCTTGTCGGTTTTCGGATGAAGACCTGAAACGGCTCACTCTTGGTTCTAGGCACTGGCAGGAGAGATCAGCCCATTCCTGTGCAGTGGCAGTCACCAGGTGCAGCGTGATTGTCAGCCAAGTGCATTAAACTGCTTTGTGGAAGCCATGTCCCAGTGTGTCCCCCCAATTCCCATGCGACCCTGCGTGCTGAAGTATCTGGGGAAGACTCACAACCTTTGGTTCCGTTCAACGTTGATGCTAGAGCACCAGGCCTTTGAGAAGGGGCTGAGTCTGCCGATCAAACCTAAGCAAACGGCCGAGTTTTACGAGCAGGAGAGCATAACGCCACCTCAGCAGGTGAGTCCTCATCCCGGTGACTCTCAGTAAGTACCTCTACCGGGAGGTTCACAGGTGTGCTCCCAGGGAGTTTCTTTGTTGACTAGAAGTCTGTGTTTGACCCAAGCACTCAGAACCAGTGATTGCCTTTAGGAGATACTGGATTCCCTTGCTGAGCTGTACTCCCTGTTACAAGAGGAAGACATGTGGGCCGGCCTGTGGCAGAAGCGCTGCAAGTTCTCGGAGACGGCAACCGCCATTGCTTATGAGCAGCACGGCTTCTTTGAGCAGGTGATGCCTGGTGGATTTCACTGCTGGTCTTCCTTACTAATGTGCTTAAGTTACAGTACGTTCACACTTGGGGAGATAATACCTTTCATTGAGTGTTGTTGTTTGTTCAAGTACTGAGAATGGAACCCACAACTTCAGTAAGCCTCCTCTACCCCAGCCATACTGCATTATCTGCTCATGAAGAACCTTCCAAGCCTCGGAAGCCTTGGTGCCTGCCTTACATAGTTTAAACTTTTAAATGTTATGTGCCTGTATGTGCACACATATGAGCACATGTGTCCATGACACATGGACAGCCTTGTGTAGTCCGTTCTCTCCTTCTGCCTTTACCTGGGCTCTCGGGCTCAGACTCAGGTCTGTAAGCCTTTACCTGCTGAGCCATCTTTACCTCGGTCTTCTGGTGTCAGAAGCTAACACAGGTGCTTGGAGGCTGACTCTGCTGGAAATAGTGGGTCGATGCACTCAGTCCTCGGCCTCATGCTTCCTGTGCAGCACAGCACTGACTTCAGAGTGAATCTCGGCCCTATAATAGGATGCTGAGGCCCAGAACAGAACACATTTGTGTGCCCAGTGGCCTTCTCTGGCACCTTTGTGAGGGCTGTCCTTTCTGTCTCTTAGTAGGTGAGCTGTGGGCATCAGGTAGCCGTGGACTGGAAGGCTGTAGTTGGTTTCTCAGTTCCTGTCCAGCTTGCCCGAGTTAAGAAGACGAGTGTTGTGGTGGGAATGGCGGGCCGCTTCCCGCCTCCCAGCTCCTGGCCACCAGCTAGCTTTACCTAAAATAATTACATGGAAACTGTATTCTTTTAAACCCTGCTTGGCCCATTAATTTCAGCCTCTTATTGGCTAACTCTCACATCTTGATTAACACATTTCTATTCATCTATGTAGCACCACGAGGTGGTGGCTTACCAGGAAGATTCTTAACCTGCTTTCGTCTCAGAGAGGAGAGGAATGGCGTTTGTTTGAATCTGCTTCTTTCTCCCAGCATTCTGTCTACTCCGCCTACCTAATTTTTTGTCCTATCAGGACCAAGACAGTTTCTTTATTAACCAATGAAAGTAACAAATAGACCCTCCTCCATCAGACGAGGAAAACACTTTCTCCTCAGTAGTCTAATTGCACTGTTACTTTTTTAGGCCCAAGAATCCTACGAAAAGGCAATGGACAAAGCCAAAAAGGAACATGAGCGGAGTAACGCCTCCCCTGCCATTTTCCCTGAGTACCAGCTGTGGGAGGACCACTGGATTAGGTGAGCGGAGCAGGGCTTGTATGTGTGGGATACACGCATGCCAGGGCGCACTTGTGGCGCTCAGAGGGCAGCTATGGCCTTCATCCTCTCCTTCCACGGTGTTCCTCTAAGTACCTCAGGCTTGGTGGCAAGCAGCTTTACCCACGGAGACATCTTGCCAGCCCAGCAAACAACAGATTTCTTTTATTTATTTATTTATTAAAGATTTCTGTTTCTTCCTCACCGCTGCCTCCCATTTCCCTCCCCCTCCCCCAATCAAGTCCCCCTCCCTCGTCAGCCCAAAGAGCAATCAGGGTTCCCTGCCCTGTGGGAAGTCCAAGGACCACCCACCTCCATCCAGGTCTAGTAAGGTGAGCATCCAAACTGCCTAGGCTCCCACAAAGCCAATACGTGCAGTAGGATCAAAAACCCATTGCCATTTGTTCTTGAGTTCTCAGTAGTCCTCATTGTCCGCTATGTTCAGCGAGTCTGGTTTTATCCCAGGCTTTTCAGACCCAGGCCAGCTGGCCTTGGTGAGTTCCCGATAGAACATCCCCCTTGTCTCAGTGTGTGGGTGCACCCCTCACGGTCCTGAGTTCCTTGCTCGTGTTCTCTCTCCTTCTGCTCCTGATTTGGACCTTGAGATTTCAGTCCAGTGCTCCAATGTGGGTCTCTGTCTCTGTCTCTAATCTCCTTTCATCGCCTGATGAAGGTTAATATTCAGGAGGATGCCTATATGTTTTTCTTTGGGTTCTCCTTCTAAACAACAGATTTCTAACACAGTCCAGTCCAGAGATACAGAGATTCGATATGTGTGTGCCAAGGAATAATGGCAGAGAAACACTACAGTCTTTGTTTTTAGTTGTTAGGCCAGAAAACTGTAAGCACGATAAAGCACTGTAGTCACAGCGTACAGCTGTTTGTCTGGAACCTGAGCGAAGGTGTTTCTAGCAGCACTCACTGGCATCTCATGGCATGCGGTCATAGGCATCATGAAGGTGGGCTCAAGGCTGTAGTAGTTACATAGTTCAACATGCCAGATATTTCCAGAAGTGTCTCAGGTTCATTACGTGATTGATTTTAGGCTACTGTGTGCTTGTATGTCTAGAGCCAGTTAGTATCACTAACTACCTGGCCACCCGGGATTCGGTTATGTGAAGCCATATGAATCCCCTGGTATAGAAGTGTATGGATGGACTGGGCATGGTGGCGCATACCCTTAATCCCAACACACTAGAAGCAGGGGCAGGCAGAGCTCTGAGTTTGAGGCCAGTGTGGGCTGTATAGAAAGACCCTGTCAGGGGACAGTCTTAATGAATGAATTAAAGAAGCCAGGGAACATGTCTGTCAGTTTATCCTGAGTTTTCTCACAAGGGTTGCTTGCTACAGAATCTGAGAAACTAATGTCATGTGTACTGGTTAGGAACTAGTCAACGCTGCCTTCCCTCGGGCCGTGTGATCATAGGACAGACAGGTCTCCTGAGGGCAAGCGGGAATATGGTCCCACAGCTGTCTGTACTCCAGCCCTCTTCTCTGTAGTGATGGCTGTCTTCAAACCCTTTGCATTTCCAAGTCTGTCAGTGTGTTGTCCTGACTGAGCTGCTTTGGCCCTGGTCTCCTAGGTGCTCAAAGGAGCTGAACCAGTGGGAAGCCTTGACTGAGTTCGGCCAGTCCAAAGGCCACATAAATCCCTACCTGGTCCTGGAATGTGCATGGAGGGTGTCCAACTGGACTGCCATGAAGGAGGCACTGGTGCAGGTAAGACCCTTGCCATGTGCTGTTAGCAAGGACCACGGTGTGTGTGTGTGTGTGCATGCGTGTGTGCGCACACATATACACTACAGGTACACTGCAGTACCTGTAGAGACCAGAAGAGGGCGTTAGATCTCCTGGGGCTGGAGTTAGGGGTGTACTGGCGGTTGTAAACTGTCTGTTGTGAATGTTCATACCAGACTCAGGTGCTCTGCAAGAGCAACAGGTATTCTAGATCTGCTAAGCTGTCTCCATCCTCTGTCGTTCAGTTTTACGTACAGATGAGGATTGGGTGTAGAGACCTTAACCTTTGAGAACCAAAATAACATTGTGAAGCAGTTTGGAATAATTAAGTTGAAAGGGTTGGTGTATTTTTGTCGGAAGAATCATCAGGACTAACACAGAAGATTGGAGCCGGAGCAGCCTGGGCTGATGTGTTTACTGTTCTCTGAAAAGCTGCTGATAGGAGGGACAGGCTCTTGTTCTGAAGTGTGTTGGGCATGGTGGTGTGGTGTACAGTGGGAGTGAGGTGTTTATTGGTCTGTGCATATGCACCATGACAGGAGTGTAGTCTCTGTCTTCTCCCTGGGAGTTTTTGTGGTGCACTCTGCAACCCAGGAGATTGGCTGCTCACCCAAGTTGAGAGAGGATCTCAGAAGAGCAGTGTAAATGCCTGGCTTCTCTATTGAAAGTCAGTTTTTACTTTATGGACAGACTCTGTGTGTTGCTTTGTGTAATTGGCCAGAGTTGGAGAGCATTCATCACCACCTTGGTTGTCGCCCCTCACTCCAGGTGGAGGTCAGCTGTCCGAAGGAGATGGCGTGGAAGGTGAACATGTACCGAGGATACCTGGCCATCTGCCACCCCGAGGAGCAGCAGCTCAGTTTCATAGAGCGCCTGGTGGAAATGGCCAGCAGCCTGGCCATCCGTGAGTGGCGGCGGCTGCCCCATGTGGTGTCCCACGTGCACACACCTCTTCTGCAGGTGGGTATTGCCCCCTCCTAGAGTCCTTAGCGCTGCAGGGAAGCTGAGGTCCATAGATGAGCCAAGTAATAAAGAAAACTTTTGCCGGGCAATGGTGGCGCACACCTATAATCCAGCACTCGGGAGGCAGAGGCAGGCGGATCTCTGTGAGTTTGAGACCAGCCTGGTCTACAGAGCTAGTTCCAGGACAGGCTCCAAAGCCACAGAGAAACCCTGTCTCAAAAAACAAAAAAAAAAAAAGAAAACTTTTTCTCCTGGTTTCATCCTTTCCCCCTGGGAATTCATCCTCAGGAAACGAAGGCCAGAGTCAGAACATCAGGGGAACACAGTGTGGCTTTTCATTTTGGAGCTGAGGATCTGAGACATTCTTACAAGGGATTGTGATTTTACCATCTGGGCGATATTTTGGGCACATAACAGTGTGAAGCTACTGTTCTGACAGGTACCATCCAGCCTTGAAAGGCTGAACTGACTTGTGCCCCGATATCCTCCTTAGGCTTCAGTAATAATGTTTCTGGTGATTTATGAAAGAGTACTTTTTTAAAAGATGTATTTATTTATGTATATGAGTACTCTGTTACATACATGCCTGCATGATAAAAGAGGGCACCAGATCTCATTACAGATGGTTGTGAGCCACCATGTGGTTGCTGGGAATTGAACTCAGGGACATTAGAGGAGCAGCCAGTGCTCTGAACCATCTCTCCTGCCCATGAAAGAGTACTTTTGAGACTAAACCAGTATGTTAGATTTGTCATGGTATGGATATTGATGTTTTGTGTTGTAATTAGCACAGAATGGGCTATATATGAACCCTCCCAGACAGTCTATTTGGGGTCAGTTTCTAGAGGTAAAAGATCAGAGGCCCACGTTTTGTGACAGGCTTCTTTCTGGGAAGAACAGTGGAGACATCAGAACGTGTTACAGAGATGCTGGTATTTCATCTGGGGTCTCTTAATCCAATCCTGGGCATCTCTTAAAACACTGTAGTTGGTTTAAGAGGTTAAATCCCAGTGAGTTCTGGGGGCAGGAACTCAGGGCAGAGCACTGCAGCTTCTCTAAACATAGCGACTTCCTGTCTGAAATTGTCTCTTCAGGAGCCACAGCTTTAGTGAACAGTGCCTTGTTGTTGTTCCAGTCTTCTCTATGTGCTCTTACGTCTGCTTACCTCTGATTCAGAAAGAACGCCCTAAAATGAGTGAGTGTACAGGTCTAGGTTACTGAATATTATGAAGCTTTTAGTTACCAGCAGTCCCTTACTCTAGAGTGTTGGGAGAGAGTCACTGCTGCTGTGAATGTTGGATTTCCAGAGTTTTCTTGGGGTAGGGGGTGGTGGTAATAAACCTTAAACCAAGGGCCTTCATGCTAGGCAAGCAACCCCCTCTCGTGACTGCTGAAAGTTGTCTTTGCATGAAAACAGTTAATGGCTGCATTTCTGAGTTTTCAATAAAAGTACCAACCATGAGTAACAGTTAATTGTGAAAACATGAAATTATTTTTTGCAATTATTTATTTAAAGCATGAAGTATAGGATGCAGCTTGTCTCATGATCCTGATGTCCGAGTGTCTTGGAAAGTGAATGAAAAGCAGTCTCATTTCTCACTACTTTGCTAATGGTTTGTAATGGCAGTGTTTGCCAGTCGTCAGCGGATCCTACTACTGCATTTAAAGATGATTATTAGGGCTGGAGAGATGGTTAAGAGCACTGAGGGCTATTTCAGAAGACCCAGATTCAGGTTCCCAGTGCTTTACAACCATCTGGACTTCTAAGGGATCCAACCCAAGTGATAGCTGCCTCCACACCACTAAGAAGTCTTTTTGTTGTTGTATTTGTTTTTCAAGACAGGGGTTTGTAGACAGAAGTTTCTGTTTTGCCTGGACCTGCAGCTGTTCAGTCCCAAATAAACACACAGACATATATTAAATTATAAACTGTCTCAAAAAACAAGCAAAAATAAATAAATTATAAACTGTTTGTTTGGCCTGTTAGCTCAGGCTTATTACTAACTAGCTCTTAGATCTTAACCCATAATTCTTACGTAGATTTAGCCATGTGACTTGATACTTTTTCTCAGTAAAACATTCTGACCTTGCTTCCTCTACATCTGGCTGACAACTATGTCTCTGCCTTTCCTCTTCCTAGAATTCTCCTAGTCTGGTCACCTGCCCATGCTTTCTGCCTGGCTACTGGCCAGTCTGCATTTTATTAAACCAATATGAATGACAAATCTACAGTGTACAAGAGCACTGTCCCACAGCAAGGTTTCTCTGTATAGCCTGACTGTCCTGGAATTCCTTCTATAGATCAGGCTGGCCATGAACTCAGAGATCTCAGTGCTGGGATAAAAGGCATGTGCCACCTGCTGGATGGTTTTGTTTTCTGAGACAGGGTTTCACTAGGTAGCCTTGGCTGGCCTAGAACTCAGGCTAGTCTCAAACTCATACATAGAGATCCATTTGTTCCTTTCTTCTGAATGCTCATCACCACATGCAATGTTTGTGTGTGTGTGGTGTGTCAAAGTCAGAGGACATCTTGGGACATTTGGTTCTCTTCTTCCTCTATGTCTCAGATCAGTTCAGGTCCTCAGTCTGGAAGTCAGCACCTTTACCACCGAGCCATCTCTGCATACTAGCCTCCTAACTAAGAAATTTGAGAGAAAACCCTGGCAACACCCTTAAAAATACTTCCAGGGAGCACTTCAGTGATTTGGGCTGTTTTGTTGGGTTTTTTTCTTGTTGTTATTGTTTTGGGTTTTTTTTTTTTTTTTTTTTTTTTTGAGTCAGGTTTTTTCTGTGTACCCCTGACTATACTAGAACTTGTTCTGAAGACCAGGCTGGCCTCAAACTCAGAGATCCAGCTGTGTTTGCCTCTGAGCGTTGGGATTAGAGGTGTGCACTATCGTGGTCAGCTTGGGCTGTTTGGGTTTGTATTTGTGTATGCATTCTAGCGCAGGTGCAGAGGGCAGAGGACAACTTTTCAGAATCCGTTTCTCCTTCCATCACATGGGCTCTGGGGACCAAACTCTCAGGTGGTCAGGCTTGGCGGCAAGCACCCTTACCTGCTGAGCTCCCACCCCTACCCAGCTGTGGAATTTCTCCATGCTCCCCTCAGGCTGCCCAGCAGATCATTGAGCTTCAGGAAGCTGCACAGATAAATGCAGGCCTGCAGCCCACCAACCTGGGCAGGAACAACAGCCTCCACGACATGAAGACGGTGGTGAAGACCTGGAGGAACCGGCTGCCTATCGTGTCTGACGACTTGTCCCACTGGAGCAGCGTCTTCATGTGGCGGCAGCACCATTACCAGGGTAAACCGACCTGGTCCGGCATGCATTCATCATGTAATTTTCCAGACGCCCCGCTGTGCTGGTTTCATGTCTTCGTTTTTTGTTTTTTTTTTCCCCCCAGATTTTGTGTTCTGGGGTAGATGTAAGAGGTAGCGGTGGTGATGGTGAGGGAGTGGGGAGGCTGGGAAGCAGTGGGAGGATTTCGTGTCCTGCATTCTACCCACTTAGCAGGGAATTCCTGCTGGACCTCAGTGCAGGCCATGGCGAGTGAGTGGTGGCACACTCTGTCTCAAAGCCCCTGCCTAGAAGCACCTGTTCTCAGCTGGCTTTGTGTCCATTCCTGTTTTTCCTGCCCTAAACCCACCAGGCATCGTTATATTGAGAACCCACCTTGTGATGCCATGACCTTCTCAGAGAAGATAGACAAACTTACTCTAGATTTCCCTTTTTCCCCCTTTGAGACAGGATCTCATCTACCCCAAGCTGGCCTCGTTTAGCTTGAGGGCTGAGGATAACCTTGAACTAACTTCTGATCTTTCTTCCTCAGCCTCTTGGGGCTGGGGCTACAGGCAAGCTTCATCATGCCCCATTTTTGTGGTAGGGAACAAACCCAGGGCTTCATGGATGTTAGGCAAGTATCCTGCCAACTGAGCCCCATCCTGGCTCTAATCTGTGTCACAGGATTCCCGGGAAAGCAATAAGGGTGTATCCTGTTTTCATAGCCATGTTATGTGTCTTCATTTTTCTTTAAGCCTGATTGTTACACGCTTCGAGAAGCATGTGACACACCTGACAGCTAATTCCTTTGTTCTTTAGCTATTGTAACTGCGTATGAAAATAGCTCTCACCACGACCCAAGTTCCAATAATGCCATGCTTGGAGTCCATGCTTCAGCCTCAGCCATCATCCAGTACGGGAAAATTGCCCGGAAGCAAGGTCTAGTTAATGTGGCACTGGATATACTGAGCCGTATTCATACCATCCCTACTGTTCCCATCGTGGATTGCTTCCAGAAGATTCGACAGCAAGTGAAATGCTACCTCCAGCTGGCAGGAGTGATGGGCAAAAATGAGTGCATGCAGGTAGGGTCCTGGAGAGGTGACCTTGTCCGGGCTCCTAGGCCAGGCAGAGAGGAAGGAAGATGAGAATGTTCCCAACACAGCTTGACAGTGGGAACTGTCCAAAAGAAGGAATGAAAGGAAAACATTCAGTGTTAAAACTGCATCTGTGGCAGTTCTGCCATGCGCTTAGTGATGGGTTTGAGGAAGAAAAAACGCTAGAAAGGAGGAGTTAAGGTCAGTCCTGGCCCTCCTGTGCCCCGAGAACCAAGTGAAAGAGACAGCAAGTCTAGCTGGACATGGTGCTTCAGAAAGATGGGCTTTGTAAGTGCTTGATGAATTGTCTAGAAACTCTAAGAGACTTCTCCCTCTCTCCATTCCTGAATAGGGCCTTGAAGTTATTGAGTCCACAAACCTGAAATACTTCACGAAGGAGATGACAGCTGAGTTCTACGCTCTGAAGGGAATGTTCCTGGCTCAGATAAACAAGTACGCAGACTGTGTGGACCGGATGGCAGGGTCTCTAGCTCTTCCTTAGGAACGTGAAGCCAGTGTGAGGACTGGAGCTGAATTGCATGGTTTTCATGGTATTAGTGAGATGCTCCGGGCGCGGCGCCCTCTGCCAAGAAGAGCTCACAGCAGAGACGTGTAGCTCCACAAGGCGTCTGAGAGAAAAGTGACATGAGCACAGACCCGGTGGTGACAAGGGCTCCTCACCTGGTTCCTCAGGCTCTGTTGGGAGTACAGTTGTTTCTTTTGATGTGGTGTGGGCTTCTGTTGTTTTAGCTGGTCTTGCTGTGCATTACCCAGTCAGGATCCAACCTCCTCAGCTCAGTCATCCTGTTGAGCCTCCTAATTCCCTGCCCAACTTAGGAGAGCGGTTTTTGCTGTAGAGCCACTGTCAGCTCCGACTGTGGACCAGATCCATCTGTATAGAAAGTTGTATAGAACCCCACCATGTCTTGCTAGGCAACTCCTACTTGGTCATTGCCTTTCCTGTGCTTTTGGAATTGGCTTCTAGTTTGGTTTGGAAATTGAGCCTTTAGGCCTATCTTTTCCTGGTTTGTCCTACACATCAGTAGTGTGGTAGGAATCTGGTATCTTGTATCACTGTTGTGGAGTAATTTGACAAGTGGCAGTTTCACAGAAAACATTAAGACTAAATTAAGTTGCCCTAGGCCCCAGAGGTTCCCTAAGCAAAGCAGTGCTTGTTCCAGAGTGTCTAGCAGCACTAGTCACTACAGCCAGTGTAGAATAGCATCAGTGCTGAGTGAGCAGCCTTCTCTGCACATCCAGTGGTTCTGTGTGGGTGCCTCGGAAGCACTGTGCTGCACTAGGTGACATCTGACTGGAAGGTTCGTAGGATGAAGAAGTGTGTCAGGTACATCATTCCACCAAGATGAAGAGCAGACTGGTGGCCGGGGTCTTGGCATTGCTGGGAATCAGTGTGGCTGCTTTAAGGAAGGCCACAGCAGCTCCATGAATGTATTAAATATGACTCAGTGTTCAATTTGGTTGCTTGATTGTGGGTTTATAAAATAGTGTCTGACAGTGTTCCTTAGGCTGGCCCGTAGGTTACTGTGTGTTCTGGGCTAGCTTTAACCTTGATCCTCCTGCCTGCCCCAGCTGCCTGAGTGCTGGGGTGACAGGTATGAGCTGTTCTCGGTTGAAATCCTGTGTCTGAAACGGTGTTGTCATACGTGGCGTGTTTTGGGTTCCACACAGATCAGAGGAAGCCAACAAAGCATTCTCAGCAGCTGTGCAGATGCATGATGTGCTGGTGAAGGCGTGGGCCATGTGGGGTGACTACCTGGAGAGCATTTTCGTGAAGGAGCGGCAGCTGCACCTGGGTGTGTCTGCCATCACCTGCTACCTTCATGCTTGCCGGCACCAGAACGAGAGCAAATCTAGGAAGTACTTGGCCAAGGTGAGGCTGGAGATTAATCTTTGCCGCAAAGCAGCTTTAGGCTTGGGTCAAGGTCCAGCTTCAAATCTGAGTGAGGTCTGCTTCCCTGCCCTCGCTTACTTCCATCTCCCTACGGTGGCACGTTGCACAGTTGAAGCTGAGGAAGTGAAGGCCTGAACATCCTGAGATCTTGGCCTTTCCTTTATGTCTAGTGCTCTCTGGGGTCACAATCTAGACAGGACCTTCTAGTCCAGAAGAACAGAAATCCACCCTGGCACGCTCTCCGTCCAGTGCCTCAGCACAGTTAGAATTAATGTTTGCAGTAGACATAGGAATAAGCTCTGCTGGGGTTTCAAATCCGGGTTGAACATGAGCTTTGGAGTGCACATGAGCACACACGGTAGCTAAGCCAGGTGCTGTGGCAGCATCACCCTCGTGCACGCTGCAGTCACAAGCTCTGAAGGACCAGGCACCAGCTTGTGGTTTGCCTGCTGTGGATTGCTGTTGATCAGATTCTCATAAAAATCTGTTTGGGCTGGGTGAGGGTCCACCTGTGAACAAGCAGGTTATCTCTGTCACCTCCAGCAGTTACTGCTGGTCTCCAGGTTGGATCGTTTAGCAGTAAAACTGGATTCAAGTTATAGATTCTCATCAGCTGTAAAGGTTACAGTTTAAGCTTTGTATTCATTGCCGGTCGTGGCCAGTAGCACCACTTCATTTAAGGTCGGGGAAAAGCCCTTGATTGAGGCTCTCAGAATTCTCATGTAACTAAAGCATACCTTCTGCCTTAGGTGTTGTGGCTTCTGAGTTTTGATGATGACAAGAATACACTGGCGGATGCTGTGGACAAATACTGCATCGGTGTGCCCCCCATCCAGTGGCTGGCATGGATTCCACAGCTCCTCACCTGCCTGGTGGGCTCCGAGGGCAAGCTGCTCCTCAACCTCATCAGCCAGGTAGAGTTAAGCAAGCCTGGACCCCATGGAGTATATGGATGTCTGAGGGATGAAGACCTTACATTTGTTCGTTTGTTTGTTTTTTGAGACAGGATTTTTCTCTGTAGCCCTGGCTGTTCTGGAACTCATTCTGTAGACCAGGCTGGCCTCAAACTCAAGAGATCCGCCTGCCTCTGCCTTCCGGGTGCTGGGACTAAAGACGTGCGCCACTACACCACCAGCATTTATTTATTTTTTAATGTCTGAGTGCTCTGCCTGCACATACACCTGCAGGCCAGAAGAGGGCATCAGACCCCACTATAGGTGCTGTGAGCAACCGTGTGGTTGCTTTGGAATTGAACTCAGGACCTATGGAAGAGCAGCCAGTGCTCTTAATCGCTGAGCAGTCCCTCCAGCCCTAGAGAAGATTCTTAAGTAGTAGTGGTGCGGTGGGATGCTCAAGGCCTCTGTTACTTCTTAAAGTCCCAGCTCCTGAGCAAGCAGCCACCCGCTGTGCCTCACAGAACAGGCAGCACCTATCTAGTTGGTTCCATTTACATGGAGATTGTCCTGTAAGAACAATCTAGAAGAGACACTTGCTTGAGAGCACATGGCAGTGATGCTCCTGAACCCTGACGTTTTGCCTAGTAGAGCCTAGCTGCCGGGTTACTGCCTCAGTCTGTCCTGTATTGTCACTAATGCAGTGACTGTACACACAAGCCAGGTGCCATGTGGCCTTGGCAGTTAGATGTGCCTGTCTTCTTCTGTGGCACATCTGGAAGGGTCTGAGTGACTACGTAATCTTCTTGGTCACAAGCTAGCATGGTAGAACTGATGGCTGCCCCCATGAGTACATGTTTCTTTGACTCCTCCCGCAGATACACAGACTAGGGTTACACAGACCAGATGTTGCACTTAGTGGGCTTGTCCTTTATTTAGAGTCACTGTATGGCTTGAAATGGCTTGAGCCCAATATCAAGACCAACAGATAACATAGGAATCTGTGATTGGCTGAGATCCAGGTCTGGGGTCAGTGTCTCTTGCTTTCCTTAGATTTACTGAAGAAAATAGAGTGAGGTTTCTGCTATTAATGGTCACCAGGTAGAATTTATGAGACGTGGTCTGTTGGGGTTTTAAACAACAGAGCCAGAGATTTCATTTGGTGGCTAACAGCTACATATATTACATCAGTCACTTGGTATTGACCTCTTTGACCCAAATGCACAACCAAAGCCCATTCAGTGCTTGCTCATGCTTAACTCTCCCTATACATTGACCAACACCCAGAACATGTATTGGGGAACAGTGCTGATGACTCCTTGCTGACTCCCAGCAGGTTGGACGAGTGTATCCGCAAGCAGTCTACTTTCCCATCCGAACTCTGTACCTGACCCTGAAGATCGAGCAGAGAGAGCGCTATAAGAGTGGTATGTCTTGGCTGGGAAAGCTGGTGGGTCTCAGGGGGTCAGTCTGGGATACCCCAGAGCACTACTGCTGCAGGCTCACACCTCTGTGTGGCCAGTCTTCTCTTTGGTCAGGGCCAGAGGACTAAGCCTAATGGCTGAGTAGTTTGTGGTTCTCCCCCTGCCACAGTGGGAAAAGCATCCATGGGGGTGACTTACCGGAGGTGGAATAAATTGGTGAAGCCCCAGCTGTAGGAAATTAGAAAGCTCTTCTCGGCACAAAGATGGCAGTGTGTAGATGTGCTGTGGACCTGTTGAGGACTGTGAGCAATCTGGTCTCCAGTTGTTCTAAGAACAGAGAATATGACTTTAGATCTACATTGAAGAGCCTTACTGAGGAAAGGACTGACTTAGTGGTTTGGGGTACTTGGTAAGCTTTGTGCATCGTAAACCAGTTGGCCTCCTCATGTTGCACCAGAGGAAATAAGACCAAGTGGGCACAGACACACAGTGCACTCAACTCTCTGGCTTGGTCATTTAAAGATGAAGGTTATTTTCTTAGTTCCTGACTAAATACCTTGAGCTCAAGCCAGAAATTGGTCATGCGGTGTTCTGTAGCATGTTTCTCAGAGAGAGACCATTTTGAAGTGTGTAGACCAGTTTTGTTTTGTTTTGTTTTAGCTGCTTTTCGGTTCTTTGAACTTCAGTAGCAAGGAATGTGTTGGGAAGTCATTTTCCAAATATTTTCTATCAGACAGCTGATGAAAGGGGTTCAGAGAGCCATGGCCTTTGCCCACTTGGACTCTGCTTCACTGGCACACACACTGGCTTTTCCCTGAACTACCCGTAGTCAGGGCAGAGCTGACCATGCTCTCTGCTGGCCCAACCAAGTGGGGCAGCTGCTCCTAGAACCAGGGCATCTCTGCCCTGTCCCTGGGGTGAAGGGTCTTGTCCCACATGGCACAAACCCGCGTTCCTGTGGCCAGTGGGTCTTGGAGCACTGTAAACTCGTCAAAAGTGGGTCTTGCGCTGACATTGGCGTTGTGTGTGTTGCTCTCAGATTCTGGACAACAGCAGCCCAGTTCAGTGGGTAACCAGTCCCATTCTGCATCAGATCCAGGGCCCATAAGAGCAACAGCACCCATGTGGCGCTGCAGCCGCATCATGCACATGCAGCGGGAGCTTCACCCCACCCTCCTGTCTTCCCTGGAAGGCATCGTCGACCAGATGGTCTGGTTCAGAGAGAACTGGCACGAGGAGGTAGGTGGACCCAATGCTGCATTGCTGCCTCCCATAGAGGAAGTGGACAGAAGTGCCTGCACACATGCTGTCCTCAGACTGGGTGTCTGGTCAGCCCACTGTTGACAGTTGAATGTTAACCATGCAGCTTCAAGTCATTGAATAATGGGGAGGGGATGAAGGCGGAGGTTTTTGTAACTCAGTAGGTAGAGTGCTTGCCTGGAATACACAAAGCCCAGCACCATGTAAGCAAACCATGGTGACCCATTCCTCCAGTCCTGGAACTCAGAAGGTAGGGGCAGGAATCTCAGGAGTTCCAAACCAACCTGGACTACATGTGATGATGAGAGGGAAGTGAAGGTAGGCAGTCAGTCCTCGCTGCAGTACCCTCCACAGCCTCAGGCACTTCTGACTGTGTGAGGGAAGGACTGTGCTGTCTCCTTGACGGCAGTCGCTTCAGCTGGTGACACAACCCACGTGTTTCCTTACTGGGCTCAGGGCCAGCTTGTTGGTGTGAAACTTCGTAGGTAACACTGGCTGCCTCGCTGCCCTCTGGCTGATGGTCTTCGTTTCTTCTGCCAGGTGCTCAGGCAGCTCCAGCAGGGCCTGGCAAAATGTTACTCTGTCGCCTTTGAAAAGAGCGGCGCTGTATCGGACGCCAAGATTACCCCTCACACGCTTAACTTTGTCAAGAAGCTGGTGAGCACTTTCGGAGTGGGCCTGGAGAACGTGTCCAACGTATCAACCATGTTCTCCAGTGCGGCCTCTGAGTCTCTGGCCCGCCGGGCACAAGCCACAGCCCAGGACCCCGTCTTCCAGAAGCTGAAGGGCCAGTTCACCACAGGTGAGCCTTGCACTGGGCACGTGCTGCTTAGACTTTGTGTGATCCCAGCACTCAGGAGGCAGGATGACAGGGGGACTGTTTTGTTACTTATGGTTCATGTGAAGGCATTTTCTTTCCTAGACTTATAGGTGTTCAAATCCTCCCCTGGTCTCTTCCCACCTCATCTGAGGGAATCTCACCACTCCCTAGCTCACATATGTGTTTACATGACACAGAGCTCAACATGCTGTTTAGAGCAACTTATCCCAAAGAGGTCACTAACCATCAGAGAGGACATGGAGACAAGACGCAGGCGCCTCAGTTTCTTAAATGAAATATTTTTACTTACTGTTCTTGTAACTGTCTAAAACATCATTTTTCACTGATACATACTGAAACTATAGGGGACATGGAGTGTATTTCTTTCTTTCCCTCAAGCTGGCTAATACTCAACTGCTAAGCCACACCTCCAGGCCCAAAACTTCAGTGATTTCCTTATTATCCTTTAGAAAAAAAAAAAAAAAAAAAAAAAAAAAAAACCGCAGTTAAAGCCAGGTGGTTGTGATGTATCCTTTAATCCCAGACAGAAGCAGCTCAAGGCCAGCCTGGTCTCCAAGAGCTAGTTCCAGGACAGGCTCCAAAGCTATAGGGAAACCCTGTCTCGAAAAAAGAATGCAGCTAAAATGGTGTGTTGTGTGTGTACCTATAGTAGAGGCCAGTTGATTATGCAAGATGCTTTACAGTTCCAGCCACAGCCTACTGTCCCTCTACCTGGCTTGCAGAGTGTGGCCCTGTCATCTCACGGGTTGGTCTGGGAAGGCTTGGGCTCCTATTGGTGGGAACACTTGGGCCCTATAAGTTGGTGAACTTATTATAAGTGTTAGAAGGTAACACAATCTGCCTCATGCTGAGTCTTCCACATTGTAGACTTTTGTTGAGGAACATCCAGGGATGTGCATGCCTGTAACCCTGCACTCTATACCTGTATTCACACATAAAGACATTATATACCCACAGAGATGATAAGTAAGAGAAAGAATTTTTGGGCTTTGCCCTCCTTTTCACCAGGGAACTCAGTACTGTTAGCTCTGATTCTGGCCTCTCAAGTCAGCAGTGCCGTCACCCTGTTAGAGGAAGCACCGAGATGAACGTTTTACCATCGCACTTTACTGACACACCAAGGACCGCCTGCTTTGAACTGGAGGCCCGTGTTCACTGTCTTAATCTGATGCGTCAGATCCTTCCATTCAGTGTAGTTTGAAACAGAATCAGATATGAGTTGAAGCACTTGGTTTTCAGTGTGAAAGCTACAAAACCAAAAATTTAAAAGTTAAAATCACAAGGTTTCCTCAGATGCAGCCAAAGGTAAATGAGAACAGTCTGACCTTCTCCAGATTCTGTGTGTATGTAATGAGCTCGTCTCCACCAGTAGACCTAAAGAGAAGGGAGGGCACTCAGGTTTTTCATGTAGTAAGGTGTGCATGAATATTTATTCCCTGCTAATATTCAAGCCAGAAACTATCCAGGCCTGCTCCAGGAGGTAGAGCATAGAATAGCTGTGTCGTTCATCCCGACTCAGCCGTGGAAGGGAGTTACTGGTGGACACCTCAGCTGGGGTGAGTCTCAGAGAACCCACGCTTGTGGCTCCGTCTTCCACTGAGCTGCAGCACCAGCCCCTGTGAGGACTTGGACTTCAGTGACAGAACAGAAAGTGCAGCTTGGTGCTGGAGTGTGGGCTGAACTTAGTCGTCATGGAAACAGTTCGACTACTGTAAACCAGATAGATGTGGAGGGAAGGGAGGAAGGAAATACATCGACTAACCTGAAACAGATTGCTCCTATGAAGCTCACACAGGGCTGTAGGTGGGACAGCCAAAGGCCTGCGCCTTGCCTCCCTGCACTCTCGCAGCAGCCCTGTTCTGGGCGGATCACAGGACTCCTGCTTGCTGTGCAGGCGTTCACCAGCCCCGCTGTATTGAACCCAGCCCTTGAAGCTGGTTTTCATCATGTTTATTTTATTCTGCAGATTTTGACTTTAGTGTCCCAGGATCCATGAAGCTTCATAATCTCATTTCAAAATTGAAAAAGTGGATCAAAATCCTTGAAGCTAAAACCAAGCAGCTTCCCAAATTCTTCCTCATAGAAGAAAAGTGCCGGTTCTTGAGCAATTTCTCAGCTCAGACAGCCGAAGTGGAGATTCCTGGGGAGTTTTTGATGCCTAAGCCAACGCATTACTACATCAAGATCGCTCGGTGAGCGCAGGGCCTGGTGTGTAGAGGGGCTTTGGGGTCCTACCATGCTGGTTCCTTGGTGTGGGGTGTACAGTTCTGTTGTTGGTGTCTTCCAGGACCTGAGCTGACTGCAGGGTTAGTGCCCTCAGAGAAGGCCAGGTTTATCTCCAAAGACCTTTTCTAAGTCACCATCGAACTTGGCAAACTGAACTCTGCCAGGTGTTTACTCCTTTTGGTTTTTTTAACTTTAATTTACTGGTGCTTAGACAATTGAGGTCTTGACATATCTTACCAACTGTATGTTGTTTTACAAGTGGTATTTTTCGTGTCCATTTGTGTTTTGCCTGCATGAATGTGTGGCGGGGAGGTCCCCTGGAACTGAAGTTACAGACGATTGTGAGCCACCACATGGGTGCTGGGAATTGAACCTCAGTCTTCTGAAAGAGCAGCCAGTGCCATTACCCACAGAACCATCTCTCGTCCCCTCAACTGTATATTGTAAAGACAAGCTTCCCCGACTACACTGCCACTTTCCCTATACAGTAATCCAGTATGATGCCATAGTTACCAGATAGAAAATAAGGTTGTTATTCTGTTTATTAACTCTTAACATGCAATATAAAAACATCTGCGCCCAGGTGTTGTGGTGCACATTTCTAAGTCCTAGTCAGGGTGCTGAGGCAGGAAGATGGTTCTGAGTTAGAGCCACTCTGGGTTCCACGGCAAGTACTAGGCCAGGCAGGTCAGTACTATCCAGAACAACAGAAAAGGGTCCAATGAATGGCTCAGTGAGTAAAGAGGCCTACCCCCACACCTCAGGATCCAGCCTCAATACCTAGAATCCACATGGTGGAAGGAGAGAAGCCGCTCTGACCGCCACAAGTACATCATGTATGCAAAATGAAACTAAAAATGTAATTAGGAGCTGACGGTGGTGGCGCACACCTTTATCCAGCACTCTGGAGGCAGAGGCAGGAGGTTCTCTGTGAGTAGGAGACCAGCCTGGTCTACAAAGCAAGTTGCAGGGCAGCCAGAGCTGTATAGAGAAACTCTGTCTCAACAAAACAAAAAAGCCAAAATAAGCAAATAAAAGAAAAGCATGTTTGGCAGTTGTAGAACTGACTAGAGTGTGCTGAATTCCACTTGAGGGTGAGCAGCACTTTGGAGAGGCTGCCTCCAGTAACTGGCGTGCAACTTGTTTCTTATTTCTGAATTGGCTCTGTCTTTGCACACACCCACACCTGTTCCCCTTTCCTCTGAGTCCCCCTCCTCCCTGTCTTCCTTCAGTCAGTCCTCGATACATCCGAGATTACCAGCCGCCCTGTTTGTCTGTGACCGTCCTTAACACTGTTTCCCCAAGGAAGGGTCTGTTCATGCTCTCCCTCTGCTCCTGCAGCTTCATGCCCCGAGTGGAGATTGTCCAGAAGCACAACACAGCGGCCCGCAGGCTCTACATCCGGGGACACAACGGCAAGATCTACCCGTACCTGGTCATGAATGATGCCTGCCTCACCGAGTCACGGCGGGAGGAGCGTGTGCTGCAGCTGCTTCGCCTGCTGAACCCTTGCCTGGAGAAGAGAAAGGAGACCACCAAGAGGCACTTGTTCTTCACAGGTATGAGAGCCACATCTGTGTGACAGGGAAGCTGCAAGGAGCAGCCGCAGGCATGCCCTGCCTCAACTGATCTCTCACTGTGGGTCAGAGCTCACACTGGGGCTCGCCCTCCTGTGTCCAGCTCAGCACAGTCTTGTTTGGGAGCTGTAGTTCTGTGTGGGGTTGCTTTTTCTTGGGGCTAAACCAAGAGCAGCAGGCCATGTTACCAGGTTGTTCCCAGTACAGTCTCTACCCTAGGCTTCCTGGTGTGTAGTCTCTGAAATTGGGAACCCTTCTGCAAGGGCCTAAGCTCTAATCCTTTATGGACAAAGGTGTAACCAGCCCTACTCCCTACCCCCTTCTGGTGGTTTTTTATATTATTTAATTTATTAAGTTTCTTGAGGCAGTCTCTCTGACCTTGAACTCGGCGATCTGCCTGCCTCTGCCTCCCACAAATGCTGTTGTTAAAGATATGCGCCTCCCTGTCCAGCTTAGCCTAGCTCATTTTAATCAGAGACACTTGACCTTTAACTTTTAATATCCTAAAATCTGTGGATTCCGGGCCATGCGTGAGACCGCATGCTGCTCTCACTCCAGTTCCTGAGGCTGCAGCTCCCCCTTCTGTTGGCTGTGAGCAGCTGCACTCTGTGCACATAGCCACACAGACACAATGTACACATCCTGTAACAAATACAGATAAGGAGTTAGAGGATGGCTAGCACTCAGCTGCCTGTTCCTACAGAGGTCTGGGTTTGTTTCCCAGCATCCACATGACAGCCATCTCTAACTCTTCTCAGGTCACCAGGTGTTCTCACGGTGTACAGACATACATTCAGGTCACCAGGTGTTCTCACGGTGTACAGACATACATACATTCAGGTCACCAGGTGTTCTCACGGGTGTACAGACATACATACATTCAGGTCACCAGGTGTTCTCACGGGTGTACAGACATACATACATTCAGGTCACCAGGTGTTCTCACGGTGTACAGACATACATACATTCAGGTCACCAGGTGTTCTCACGGTGTACAGACATACATACATTCAGGTCACCAGGTGTTCTCACGGTGTACAGACATACATACATTCAGGTCACCAGGTGTTCTCACGGTGTACAGACATACATTCAGGTCACCAGGTGTTCTCACGGTGTACAGACATACATTCAGGTCACCAGGTGTTCTCACGGTGTACAGACATACATTCAGGTCACCAGGTGTTCTCACGGTGTACAGACATACATTGAGGCAGCGCGCGCGCACACACACAAATCTTTTTTAAAATAAAAAAGTGAATAGATAAAAATCCATAGGTTTGGGGAGGTGTTGCTTTGTTTGTTACATATTTTTTGGTTTTTTGAGATAGGGGCTTACTATGTATCACTATGTAGACCAGGCTGGCCTCAAACTTACAGATCTACCTGCTTCTTGCCTCCACCAGCTAAAATAAGTGTTTTGAATTCAAAAAGAAATCTGAAGGAATTTGTCATATCAGAAAGCTGTGTGTGCTGAAGCATGTGTGTGGTTCGTGCTGCTTCCTATCCGGGGTTAGTAGGCAGTGTCAAGTCCAACTTGGTGTCTTGGAATCATTATGGGAACTTCTCCTGGATGGAAGCCAGCAGCTGCGGTTTAGCCGTGGTCTCCTCAAATTAGAAAGCGCAAGCATCTGTGGTGCAGCCCACAGTACTACCCCATGCTTGGGGCACAGCAGCAGACAGGGCGCACCAGGTTGTGCAGCCTGAGGAAGGCAGTCAGTCTCAGCTGACTTTACTCCTTAAAGTAGTATCTTAATTATTCTTTTGTTTTATCACTAAACTGCCCCATAGGCATGAAAAACCCAAAGTGCCCAGAAGTCAGTGACTGCCAGCTGGCATCACAGGGAGGCAGCTATGGCGCCATGGCAGCAGGTGGTGTACCTACCTGCTGGTTGCTCCCAACCGGAGCTCAGGAGTTTGGCCATGGCAAATGCCATCCCAGAGTACACATTGCTCAACTCTACAGTCATCACCGGGAACAGCCTGTAGGGTTTTTGTTATGAGTAGAGTCTGTCACTGAACCTCAGGTGACAGAAATGTCAGCTGCCTTTCTGTGCCGAGGTGGAGGCCAGCCCTTCTAGTTGCAGGTAGACAGATGTAACAGGTGCATTAGAGCCAGGGTGGGCCAGCTAGAGAAGGCCTCTAAGGAGTAAGCATGGGTAGAGTCCCCACTAAAGGGTGTTCGGGCACCCGTCAAGGACTTAACCCTACAGCTGTTGTCTACTACATCTGCTGAGTAACTGAGGTGTGTGACCTGGGCTCTGCAGCTTTGTCTGTGCTCTGGGCTGAGTGCTGACCTGGTCACTCTTGCTCACCCTGCCTCCTTTTTCCCCAGTTCCTCGGGTTGTGGCTGTGTCCCCACAGATGCGTCTCGTGGAAGACAACCCCTCCTCGCTTTCCCTCGTGGAAATCTACAAGCAGCGCTGTGCCAAGAAAGGCATCGAGCACGACAACCCCATCTCCCGTTACTATGACAGGCTGGCCACAGTGCAGGCACGGGGAACGCAGGCCAGTCACCAGGTACCAGGCAGGAGGCCAGCTACTGCCCGGGGCTTCTGTCCATGCTGTTTGGTTACAGTGGGCTGTCCCACCAGGGACTCCTCACTCCTGATGAGATGGGAGAGGTCAGATGGCTGGTGACCATCTATCTGCTGCAGGGGGTTTGTGGTGAGGCTCTTGACCTCGGAGTTCATTGTCCCTGCCCTGCACTTAGAGAAAAACTCAGAAATTAGACTTTAAACCCCAGTGGATGACATGCTCACTTTGCAGCCAGTGACATTGGGTGACGCCTGTCTAGACCCTGTGGGGTTTCTAAAATGCTGAGTGTGACTGACCAAAACCTTTGGGGCCCAGCTGTGTGGGTTGCCTGGGGCAGGAGCACGAGTGGGCCATAGGATCCCAGACAGCCTGTGCTCCCAGGGTGACAGAGGGCCCTCTCCTTATTTGCAGATTCCTGCCCTTGGCTGGGAAGATTTTGTCCAGGGTTGTGTGGAGCGGCAAGAGGCAGCTGTTTTGGCCCCTCCCCAGGTGCCACGGGGTCCTTCTGTGCATTACCAGGAGAGGCCACGGGGCGGAAGCCATGACCTGCCCTGTGTTGCCCGGGGCTCATTGTAGTTTCTCTGGGTCCTGCAGCGTTGGGTTTTATTTAGGCTAGAGCCCATAAGGTGTCCTTCCCACCTCCTGAGCAGGGAGAGTCTGAGGTGGTCCTGGCTGGCATGGTCTGAGGCAGCTCCCTGCCCCTTCAGGCAGAGGGAGTAAATCCCTGCTTCCTCATAGGCTTCTAGACAGAACTGAGGCCTTGTCAGTTGAGAGAGAATTGGGTGTTTTATAGCACAGGTCATGGCCTGGTCATTCTGAGCCCCCTTGGGCAAAGGTCATGAGCAAGGCCATCAGAGGAAGCCACTAGCTACAGCTTCTGTGCTTCACTAGTAGCCCAAGGAGTGGTGTTGGTCCAGCTCTCAGGACACTGAGATGAGATTCACGTGCTGGAGTGTCTGTAGCTGTTCCTCGGCTGTATGGCCATTGATCACCATGCACCATCTTTCTCCAAGTCCAGCCCCAGGTGGTCCATGGTGCTTTCTGTCTCTGGAGTTGCGTGATGTTGGCATGACATGAATGGAATTGGACTTTGATGCCTGACTTCCCACTCTGCTAGCCTGTGTCAGTGCTCTGTTCCTTTTCCAGTGCCACATTCTCTTCTAGTGTGTGAGCACAGTGCTTTCAGTTTGTCCGTTTATCAGTTGTGACTTCTGGCTGATTTATTTATTTTTGGCTATATAATGAGAGCTGCTATGGACGTTGTCACGCTTGCCTGTGTGAATATGTATTCATTTCTTTTGAGAATATATCTATCTCTACACCCAGATGTAGAATTGTTGGGTCACATCGTGAAGGTTTTTAACATTTGAACTGCATTCTAGAGTGCCTGTGATGTGTGCCCTAACTCCTCTGTGTCCTAGCCACTGCCTCCCCTGTAGCCACCTGGGAGGGCATGAAATACTAGTAATTTCTCCCCAGTGATGACAACAGTCTCTTTGTGTTGCTGGCTTCTTATCTTTTGTCTTTGCATGATACCTGTTCAAGTCCCTACCTGTTTTTAAGTTGAGCAGTTTCTGTTTTAAGTACCCGTTTTTGTATATGGGCGTTTTTGCCTGAATGCGTATCTGCGTACCATCTGCATGTCTGGTGCCCTTGAAAGTCAGAGAGGGTGGTGGGTCCCCTGGAGCTAGAGTTGCAAGCAGCCACGTGGGTGCTGGGAACCCAATCCAGGTCCCCTGCAATAGCAACCTGCTGCTGAGCCGTCTCTCCAGCCCCTGATTTGTATTTTATATTGAATTCTAGACATTCACAGTCTAGTGACTTTCCTAGACTTTGTCTGTTCCTCTGTTGCAGGTAGCCTTTGAAATCAGCTCAATTTGGAAGTCAGTAGCTGGCTCGATGAGCGCGTTTGTGTGCATGTGTGTGTGTTTGGCAGTACTGGGGTCTAAGCGAGGACCTCACATATGCTAGGCAAGCACGCTACCACTAAACTAGCACCCAGCTCTTGATTTGACCGATGTTCTGAGATGTTTGAACCAATCTGCCTCGTATCTGTTTCGATGGCGACTGTCTGGGCCATGCCATCAGCTCAAAGTTTGTAGCTTTGTCTTTGCTCTCACTTGTACTGGGACAGAGCCTTAGGGTCACACTTGACCTTCAAAGTTCCTGGAATGTTCTGGTTGTGTCAAAGCTGCTGCCCCTCCCGCCCCTTCTCCTGCACCAGCTCTTGTCTTTGGCCAGGCTCTTGCAGGCTCCAGCTGATGGTGTGCTCTCTGATACCTGCAGTGTTAAATAGTTACCTCAGTTCCTTTAGTAAACACTGTATTGCGAAGTGAACTTAATGGAGATCAGATAGGTCAGGTGGGGGCAGCTCTTGGGGTGAGGGTTTAGCAGCCCTGGCCACTGTGGAGGTGGGGGGGACTGGCAGGAAGACGCATGAATTGCCAACAGGTTCGCTGTTCTTGCAAGACTCCGCCTGTGGCTCCCAGATGAGAGCTCACCTGACCATTGTCAGGAGCTTTCGGCTTCTAGAGATGTGGGTAAATTGGTTTTGACTTCCCAGTTGGACTAAAGCTGTCTTTTCAGTTCCTGAGATTTGGTGTCTTGCATCACAGAGCTGAGTTCATGCAAATGTCTGCTCTTTTTGATTAGCTCTTTGGTTTATGACACTTCTCTGTGCATGGTTTAAAGAAGATACTGGTGTCCAGCTATCCTTTGTCCCTTTGTTAGCTGGCTGTTGCATTCTGAGGCAGCGAAGGTGAAAGTGGCTCTGTGTGTTGACCCTGAGAGGCATGCTCCACACAGCCGCACTGGCGGTGGGTACGTCAATTTAGCGGGAAACCAAGGTCTACAGTGTTCAGTCAGATGTTAAGTAAGCCAGGAGTCGCCATACAAGAGCTTTCTATCTGCTCAAAACACGGACAAAGACTCATAGAGTGATGTGTTCCAGGTCCTCCGAGACATTCTCAAAGAGGTCCAGAGCAACATGGTCCCCCGCAGCATGCTGAAGGAGTGGGCCCTGCACACCTTCCCCAACGCTACAGACTACTGGACCTTCCGGAAGATGTTCACCATCCAGCTGGCGCTCATCGGCTTCGCAGAGTTCGTCCTGCATCTCAATAGACTCAACCCTGAGATGTTACAGATTGCTCAGGTAATTTGCTGTCAACAGCCAGACACTGCCTTGATTCCTCTGCCCTGCCAGTGTGGAACTTAAAAATGTGTCCCTCTGAAACATAGGATACGGGCAAGCTGAACGTCGCTTACTTCCGATTTGACATAAATGATGCAACTGGGGACTTAGATGCCAACCGTCCGGTCCCTTTCCGCCTCACACCCAACATTTCTGAGTTCCTGACCACCATTGGTGTCTCCGGCCCACTGACTGCCTCCATGATTGCTGTTGCACGGTGCTTTGCCCAGCCCAACTTCAAGGTGGGTCTCAGCATCTTTTCTGTGAGAAGCATGAACTGATTGTTTAGTTCCACCCGGGCTCTCAGTGGTGCTCTCGGCCTGTGAACATGGAGGGAGATGTTAGAAATGGAATATTTGGAGACGGTTTGGAATGTTCATTGTCTTAAGATGTGCAGAATGAAAGGGGGGCCACTTTGCCAAAAGGAATCTAGAGTCCTCAGTTGAACCCCTACTTACTGGTTCTCCCATCCAAGTACTACCCAGGCCCGACCCTGCTTAGCTTCCGAGATCAGACGAGATCAGGCGCGTTCAGGGTGGTGTGGCTGTGGACACTAACTAATGAGTTCTCTATAGCAACTTGTGGCTCTGGCTTCCATCTTACGCGCTTCCTGGCGTGAAAGGCTGAAGTATTTTCTGGCGTGCTGCCTCCCTTCTCCAGGGCTGAAGTGAGGCCCAAGCAGACACAGACACCTAGGATATGCGAGGTGTACTGGTAGGGCCAGTGGTTGCTGCTGTAGACGAGGTGGTTTGAGGCTCTTGTCTAAAAAACCAGTGATGGGGGCTGGAACGTTGGCTCAGTTGGACAGAGCACTCGTCACTTCTTAGAGCACCCACATGGTGGCTCACAACCATCTGTAACTCTGCTGACTTAGTGTGGGCACTGGAGGCATCTCACTTAAACGCTGCAGGTAAAAACATTCGAAAGCATAAAATAAAATTTAAAATGTTTAAAAATATGTAACTAACAAGCAGGCAAATAGCAAGGGGGTTTCAAAGATGAAGTGCGGACAGTATTCAAAGAGTGTGGAGCAGATGCTGGGAGCAGGAGGAGGAAGAGCTGGTTCCTAGGGATGTAAAGGAAAGGTGGGGTTTCTGGTTTGATTGACAGGCCTGGGTTCTGTAAGCCTCAGCTGACTGCTCACGAATGCCCCTATTCATAGATAAAAGATGGTAAATAGGGCATTTTTTCACCTAGGAGTTAATTCTAAGGATAGTTTGTCTTATCATATATGCTCCTCAAACCAGTCCAGGCAAGATCAGCCTAGTGTCTCTAACTCCCAAAATATGTTTCAGGATGTGTTTGTCACAAAATGGGAGTTGCAAAGGGTTGCTGGGGAGCTGTAGGTCAGTGACTCAGTGACCTTGTGCAGAGAAGTGTGTGTGTGGCTCAAGTCAGGACTGACTTTATCCTGCACTTGTGTGCCTCACCAAGATGCCCTCAGCACCCTGGTAAGCAAGGACTATCTGCTCTGAGCACGGTGGCAGGACACAGCATCCAAGCCTGCCACTCCTGGGTGTCCCCCATGTGCATGGGACACTGTACATTCCAGTGGATTCCCAGCAGATACCCAGCATTGTCAGAGAAGAAGTGCTGTGTTTAGTCCCTGGGTGGCAGTCTAGCCCTGGCCACTCTTGTTAGATGGGCCCACACCATAAAGCTGCCCCAGTCACCCCCGGTGGGACACAAGCCGTTTCCCCTCTCCTTTGCACAGGTGGATGGCATTCTGAAAACTGTGCTCCGGGACGAGATCATTGCTTGGCACAAAAAGACCCAGGAGGACACTTCCTCTCCACTGTCGGCCGCCGGGCAGCCTGAGAACATGGACAGCCAGCAGCTGGTCTCCTTGGTTCAGAAAGCCGTCACTGCCATCATGACCCGCCTGCACAACTTGGCCCAGTTTGATGGCGGGGAGAGCAAGGTGAACACCCTGGTGGCCGCCGCCAATAGCCTGGACAACCTATGTCGCATGGACCCTGCCTGGCACCCATGGCTCTGACCTCAGCTCTCACCCCCCCAGAATGTGAAATGTGCCTCTCAGCCTCTGAACCCATGGCTGTTGAGACCTCACTCTGCCTTGTTACCCCCTTTAGTTCCTTTCCCAGTAGTTTGTGTGTGTGTGTGTGTGTGTGTGTGTGTGTGTGTGTGTGTGTGTGTGTGGAAGAGCGTGAGGTTTGTCCTGGAGAGAGCCCCCTGCACACAAGATGGCCAGGCCATTAGAGATGGCAGAGCCCAACAAAGCAGCTTCTGAGATGCTTTTAATTAAGGATTCCCAGATTGGGATTTCCTCCTGTGGTACTCTTGCCTGGAGTGACAGGCAGGTTGAGAAGGTCCCTGTACCCCCTTACCATCCAGAAACTACACTTCTGAGCAGCTGCGTGCTGTGCAGACCTTCAACAGGGTCCAGGAAATCCACAGGGTTAGAGAAGCAGGAATCAGGAGCAGGCAGACAGGCAGGCTTTCTCCTCTGGCACAGATTGTCACTCTGTCTGTCACTGGCTTTGGGGAGTCTCACCAAGTCTCTGATGTGGCTCAGTGCGCCTGCATCGCCTGCCCTGCGGGGAAAGCTGTGCATGGCCTCATGGATTCCAATTCAGTGGGGCAGAAACGGAACTGTGGAGCCAGCAGGCCAACCTTGCAATTTCTGCTGCTGGCTTGTTGGATCTCTTTTAGAAATTTGCTATCATTGTACCAGGAAAAAAAAAAAAAAGACAAATCATTTTGTTTTTCCTTCCTAACTTGAAACGAAAGTGGTGAGAGTTTGTCCCTTTTGGTCTCTGTTACGTTGACATTTTTATAAATCTGAGCATTGAGAAGGTTCTAGCTAAATTTGTACAGTGTGATTTTTTTTTTTTAGAATAAATATTTTATAAAAGTATTTGCTGTCCCCTATTTTTGTGTTAGCATGTTTCTGTGTGTCGTCTGGACAGAGTGGCATATGGCTTCTAGATGACGGTGCATGCTGGTTGTGCAGACACAGTGGCCCATGGTCACAGGTGGAGGAGGTCTTGGCTCCAAGGGTCAAAGCAAACCAGGTGACAGGAATGCCAGGGCTGTCCATCTTCATCCTGCTGTCTGTAACCATCTGTATGGATCTTGTTGGATACTCAGCTGACCTTTAGCATCTATCCAGTCTCAACCCTGACCAGTTCCTCCATTCTGGGAAAGCAGTATGAACCTACGTGGACATGAGACAATCCTCAATGGACGCGAAATAGTCCGTGACATAGGATGTGTGACTCCTACATAAACACAGACTCTGAGTCTCAAGGAGTTTGCTGTTGGCAGGTGCCAGCTTCCTACAAGGACTCTGCACAGCTGCTTATGACACATGGAGATGGATCAACACAACCCCCCCGCTGACCTTGAACTCTCAATCAACCTACCCCCTGTCCCCATCCGCCAGAGACCATCTCTTGAAGCTAAGCTTACTGTAGTCTGAAAAGTCAAGTCTTAGGAACACAGCCTCCTGGCTCGCTCTTAAGAGGAAGGTAGCTGTACACCCCAGCACACAGCTGGAATGGGACCTGACTAAAAACTCCTTTCTGGCTGGTTGGCCCCAGTAGCCTTACTGGAGTCTTTGTATCAGTCCCCAGCCCTTGGGCTATGTGGACCCTTGGTCAAAGAGAGGGATGGCTCTACACATGGCCTGCTTACAGAGAGAGAGGAGCCCTTCTAAGGTCCCAGAGCCAATCCTGGAGCAAGTGGAAAGTGTCGAACTCCATCCCAAGCTGCACCCTGGATTACAGACTGAGGCTGAGGGGCAGCATGGTATCCATCTGACGGACATTCCTGCTGGTTCTTCATGGTCAGCTATGCTCAGTTTCCAGAGACTTGCTCCCTTGGTGAGAAAGTGCCTCAGATGCTGGACTAGCGGGAGTTGATGACAGATGGGGACATCAAGGTCAGCATGCTGCACCAGGCCTGAGTCGTAAAGCAACCATTGATTTTTCACCCTGCCAAAGCTAGAGTCTGCTACTGCTGAGGAAGAGGCCTATGGTTCCCTGCCCGGCTCAGCCATGCCACACACACACACACACACACACACACACACACCCCTTGCTGGTAACAACCAACCGTACAGCGATGGCCAGAATAGGAAGGAGTCTTTCCCAGTGAATACCCGGTATCTGTGTTAAAGAGTGTGTGTCTGTGTGTGTGTATGTATATACGAGTTTTTCTCTTTTTAAAGACTGTATAACCCACGCTAGTCTCAGTTTGCTATGTAGCTAAGGATAATCTTGAATTCTGATCATCTGCCTCCACCTCCCTAGTGCTGGGGCTAAGTGTGAGCATCACTGTCCGAGTGCACGCGTCTCTACGCCTGTCTGTGATGCTCTGGGAATTGGACAGACCCAGGGTGCTCTGTATCCTGGGCAAACGCTCTGTTCCAGGTCTGCCCAGGCCCTCCACTGATTAATGTATTAAGACAGGGTTTGCTCTAGTCAGGCTGGTCTGGAACTGACTTTGTGGCCACTCAAGCTGACCTTAAACTTGAAGAAATTCTTCTGCCTCAGCCTCCACATTCGTAGAGTAAGTACTTAACTTTGATGTGTTTTATATTTGGGGCCCATTTTGAGTTAACACATGTATCTGGTCTAAGATAGGTGTGAAGCTTAATTCTTTTGCATGTGTGTGTCGTTTTCCTGACACCATTTCCTGATGACTAACTTTTTTTTTTTTTTACAGAGTCAGGCAACCGGCAGCCAGCTGATGGTGTTTCTGTGTATGCAAACTGGGTCTGTTGTACTTCTCTGCTCAAACATGTTCTGTCTTTCTCACATTGAAATCATTAGTCATTTGGGTATAATTTTCACGCTTGGGAGTTTTTCACTTTTTTTCTATGACTGGTTTCTAAATCTTCCCCATATATGATTGGGAAACATGCTAGGACTTTGGAGGGTGGAGTGCAGCACATGGGGAGGTGGGAAGACAGCCTTCAGGGGGTGGTTCCTCCTACCATGTGCGACCTGGGAATAGAACTCAAGTTGTCAGACTTGGCGGGAAGTGCTCACCCACTTCGCCAGCCCATGCCTTCTGCCTTGTAAGAATTAAGACTTGTTCTGTAGCCTAACATTTGGATGACCCCATGACATTTCAGAAGCCTACATCTTTTGACTGAGGGGTTTAACCCATTTACATTTAAAGGAATTACCAACAGAAAGGCTTATGTTTGTGGTTTGGCACCTTCTGTTGTCTCTGCTTCTTCTCAGCTTGTCTCTTTTATTGCTGCCTTTCTGTGTGTGTCGGTGATTTTTTTTGTAGTGACACATTTTTTGAATACCTCATTTCTACTGACAAAATTTTATAAATACTTTTTAAAAATACGTTCCCTTTTTTATTTTTTAAAAAATGTATGTGTATGGGTGTTTTGCTTGCATGTATGTCTGTGCACCACATGCATGCAGTGCCCTTGGAGGCCACAAGGTGGTGTCACATCCCTGGAACCAGAGTTACAGGTGGTTGTAAACTGGCATGTGGGTCCTCTAAGAGCAGCCAATGCTCTTAGCCACTGAGCCGTCTCTCCAGTCAATATATTCTCTTAATGTCCTAAAACTAGGACAGTCTGATTTGAACTCTGCCAGTTTCCTCTCATGAGAACTTTACACTTTAAAAACCTCTGTCCTGTCTCATTGGGTAAACATCAAGAGTAACCGGTTGCTTTGAGGGCAGAGAGATGAGGAGGAGCACTTGCTGCTCTGGTAAAGACCAGAGTTCCATTCCTGGCACCCACATCAGGCAGCTCCCAGCCACCTGTGACTCCAACTCAGAGGATGGAGTCCCTCTCCATACCATGCAGATGGCATAAATGTTTGTTTGTTTGTTTGATTTTTCAAGACAGAGTTTCTCTGTGTAGCACTGACTATCCTGGAACTCACTTTGTAAACCAGGCTGGCCCCCAACTCCCAGAGATCCGCCTGCCCCTGCCTTCTGAGTGCCGGGACTAAAGGTGTGCGCCACCACTGCCTGGCAAACCCCTACACACATCTTTGTGTGCTGTTCGCTCACATAGGATAGACTTGCTGTTTCTCGTGCAGTTATCTTTCAAGTCATGTAGAGAAATGTGGCTCATTACTACAGCGTTTGTATAATTCTGCAGGATTTTGTTTGAGCACATACTCGCCTTCAGTGGAGAAAGGCATTCTTAACACGGCTTCCTACTGCTGGTGCCCTGTCTCAGGCTGAAGGCCCCACTCCTTGTAAGGTAGTGACCATGGCCATGAATTCTTCATCATTGTTTTTAATCTTGGAATGTCCTAATTTTCCCTTCATTTTGTCAAATACAGAGTTCTCAGCAGTTGTCAGCACTTTTAATCCATCTTTCCACTGCTTATTGGGAAATTGCTTATATCTCACCAAGCTTCTCTTGGACCTGGCGGCTTGCTTTCTGTTTCCAAAGCTTTCTCTTTGCCTGTGGTGCCCATCAGTTATCACAGCATCTGAGAGGCAGAAGCAGGAGGACCATAACTTCACAGCCAACCCTTCGTAGCAAGAACCTGTCTCATATCCTTTGATAGACGTATATACAAACATACATAGCTGTTGTGTGACAGAACTTTCCGTGGGGAGATGCAGCTCACAAACCCACAAACACACCCTGCTCATCCCAGAGGGGGAACACACAAAAGACAACAGTATAGTTTTCTCTGCCAAGTGGGTCCCAAGACTCTAACTCTACCCATGAGCCTTAGCAGCAAGTGCCTTTACCTGCTGAGCCATCCTGTTGGCCCCTCCCTGCTACTGTGAGCTTAGGCTCACAGGGTGGGTGTTTGGTTGCTGTACATCTTCTGCTGGTTTCCGGAGTACCGGGGAGATGCTTTAGTCTGCTCTAGTTGGTCATCTGTGTTCTTGTCTGGAACCATTTGAGAGTCTAAAATACTGTAGTCCATCAGATTGCTGATGTCATTCCCTAGACGTTTTAGTTATGTGTGTTTGTGCATCAGGGAAATAGATGTGGGCACATGTAGGCCAGGAGACTGCTAGGTATCATCCTCAGTTGTACTCCTCAGGAACACCACCTGCTTTCAAAACATGGACTCTTGGTGTGGGGCTCACCAAGTAGTCTAGGCTGCCTGACCAGTTAATCCCAGAGATTTGCCTGTCCTGGCATCCCTGGCATCCAAGTGTTGGGATGCCCTGCGTTTTTATGTAGGCACAGGGATTGAATTCGGGTCCTCACCCACAGGAGGCAACTGCTTTACCGTCTCCTCAGCCTAGAAATACTGTTCATTTTCATGAAGCTATAACTTGTAAAAGTTTGAATTTTAGAAAGTTGTATTCATTTTATATATGTGAGTGTTTTGCCTGCATGTATGCATGTTCACAAGTGTGCCTGGTGCCTGGAAGGTAATTGGATCTCCTAGAACTGGGGTTAAATATGGTTGCGGACCACCATGTGGGTGCTGGGAACTGAACCCTACTCCGTAAGAACAGCATGTGCTCTAAAACACTGAGCGTCTCTCCAGCCCCAAAGTGAACATTTTTAAACAGCAAACTATAGTTTATTTAGTCAGTATATTTGCCATAAAAGTAGACTGAGTCAGGGGCTGCAAAGATGGCTCAGTGGTTAAGAGCACTGGCTGTTCTCCCCAAGGACCCAGGTTCAATTCCCAGCACCCACATGGCAGTTTGCAATTGTCTGTAATACCAGTTCCAGGGGACCTGACACCCTCATACAGACTTGCATGCAGGCAAAACACCAATGCGCATAAAAATAAAACTTAAACAGTAGGCTGAGTTCAGCCTTAGGCTTACAGAGACACACTCTGAGGAACCTGCAGGGTTCAGGACCAGCAGCTATGGTCTCCCATCCTTGTAGGCAGAAAAAGGCGGGGGGATTACCTCATAAAATTCCCTTTTAAATAAAGTGTATTTGTATTGAGCCCTCTTACCAGCCCCCAAAGAATTATAATTGTTGCTAAGTTTCCATTTGAGTCTCTAGATAACAACTTAGCTGCCAACAGTACACTAAATGAGGAAAATAATCAAAATCTCTAAAAGGAGAAGCAGGAAATGGCTGTTTCCAGGCTGAGAGAAATAACTCATTATGTAGCGAAACAGAATGCTGTTCTTACCAGAAATCAGAGGGATGGAAATGGTTGCCCATTTTTAAACTTACTGTATATTTTGAAAGCTACGGTACTATCAACAACACCAGTCAGACCCAGAGAGGACAAGAGCCAGGTAACTGTCAAATATAAGGAATTATTTGGGGTCTGGAAAGAGGGCTCAGAGGGCACAAAGGTGCTCGCTCTACAAGCCTGGAAACGTGAGTTTGATTCCCAGAATCCCAGGGGGAGGAGAGAACAGACTACAAAAAGTTGTCCTCTGACCTCCAAGTGCACTCTGATATGCCCTCTCACATCTGAATAATAATAATAATGATGACGATGATTTAAAAGGAAATAATTAGTGGGCTGGTGGAATGGCCAAGAGGTTAAGAGTACTTGCTCTTGCAAAGGGCCTGGGTTTGGTTCCCAGCCCCATAGTGACTCACAACTATTGTAACTCCACTTCCAGGAACCCCAATGTCTTAAGACCTTTGAGAGCATCCAACTTACAAAGTAGTCATACCCATAAAGTAAGTAAATTTCTATTTTTAAAAAGGCAGTTATTAGGACTGAGTATGTATTAGAAGTCTTCACTAGCATGCATTAAGCCCTGGGTTCCGTCTCCGGTCTCCCACCCCCACCACACACACACACACACACACACACACACACACACACACACACTCACACACGCCAGCAATCCCAGTATGGAGGTGAAGACGGGAGGATCAGTAGTTTGAGGCCATCCCCGGCTAGATGAGCATACCCACCCCCGTTAGAGAAATCATTGCTGTATATATGGATTATTTTACTTTTATGTTTCTGTGTATATGTCATGTGCATGCAGTACTACTAGCATTGGCCAGAAGGTGGCATTAGAGCCTTGGAACTGGAGTTATAGGCAGTTGGGAACCATTCAATGTGAGTGCCAGAAACTGAACGTCCTTTGCAAGAGCAGCAAGTGCTCTTAAGCACTGAGCCGTCTCTATCCAGCCCCTGTACAGACTATTGCAAAGATTAACCCAAATTCAGAACTAGCACTACAATCAAGAGAACAGAATGGTAGAGTTTAGCTTGGGAGGCTCACACTTCCTGTTCAGACGTTCATCATTCCTTTAGCAAGGTCTGAACTTGAACTGTGACACCATCTGAACTACACAGCAGAAAGAAGAGATGACCACAGGTTCTCTAGTACAGAGGGAACAGTGCCTGTCCGAGATTCTGGACCTTTACGAAGCAGATGTGTGGGTCAGGCAGTTAGACCTGCTCCAGGCTCTTCGTGGGCATGGCTGGTGGCCTGAGTTTTTCGGAGTACATTTGTGCCTAGTTGACTGTTTAGCAGAGATCCTTTTTTTAGAGATTTATTTATTATGTATACATGTTTGTATTTATTATATATACAGTATTTATGTATTTATTATGTATACAGTATTCTCAGTATTCTGTCTGCATGCAGGCCAGAAGAGGGCACCAAATCTCATTACAGATGGTTGTGAGCCACCATGTAGTTGCTGGGAATTGAACTCAGGACCTCTGGAAGAGCAGGCAGTGCTCTTAACCCTGAGCCATCTCTCCAGTCCAGCAGAGATCCTTTTCTTGTATGCGCACACAGCTTGTGCATGTCGGGGCCAGAGCTCAAAGTCGGGTGTCATCTTCCATTGCTCAACACATTCTGAGGCAGGGTTTCTTACTGAATGCACCTGGAAGCTTACTGATTTGCCTAGATCCACGAGCCCCAAGGATCCTTTCTTCTTTGCAGGCACACAGCCCTCCGCCTGGCTTTTCACATGAGTTCTGGGGACCAAATCCAGGTCTTTATGCTGGTGCAGCAAGCATGTTACCAACTGAGCCATCTCCCCATCTGAGAGAGCCACGCATGTGTGCGTGTGTGTGCGTGAGTGCAGACATTGTGTGTCTGTACAGTCAGGTACTCTAGGTGTTGGTGGTCACCTTCCACCTTGTTCCAAACAGTAACCTGTTTGCTGTTGCTGATGCCATGTGAGCTGGCCTGCACATTTCCCAGAATTCTCCTGACTCTCCTTTCATCTCTCCACAGGAGCACCTTGATTACCAGACATGTGCTGTGTTCAACTTTTACATGAGTCCCAGGGATTCGAACTCAGGTCCTCACACTTGTGTGCATTGTGCTCAACAAGGACATCATTTCTGTGGGAACTTGACTTTCTACCATTGGTTTTCTGACTGTGGTTAAATGATTGACTTGCAGTTGTGTACCTGGCTGCCGTGTGTGCTAGTGCCCACAGAGACCAGAAGAGGGCACCAGATCCCCTGAAGATGGAGTTAGAGGTGATTATGAGCCACCTGATTGAGTGATGGGCCCTGATCGTCTGACCATCTCTCCAGCCTGTTTTGGAACTTTTAAAAACATATTTGAAGGATACTGGTGGCCTCACCTTTCTTCAGACCCTTTGCTATATATTTGCTTTCTTACTTTGCTGACATGGGGTGTAGCTGTGTAGCCCAGGATGGCCTGGTCTTCCCTGTTCAGCCCTCCCGGACTGTCCTCCAACTTTCAATTCCATGTGCAAGCTTCAAATATGGAATCATAGGTAAGAGTCACTGTGCTCAGACTGGTTTTAGCCTAAGTGTTTGACCCAACTCTAAAGCTTGTCTGAAGAGACCAGGCAGTCAGTGATGTCACACACCTGGTTTTATTTGTTTTTGATTTTTTTCGAGACAGGGTTTCTCTGTAACTTTGAAGCCTGTCCTGGAACTAGCTCTTGTAGACCAGGCTGGTCTCGAACTCACAGAGATCCACCTGGACTACACAAAATCAATGCAGAAACAGATCCGGGTGGCAGTGGCGGCTCACATCTTTAATCCAGCACTAGGGGATCACAGGCCTTTAATCCCAGCACTAAAGGGGAATATAAAATGGGAGGAGACAGAGGCTAGGGCTCAGTGTTGGTAGAGATAAAACTCTTCTAGTGGCTTGGCTGCTTTGCTTTTCTGATCTTCAGCTTGAACCCCAGTATCTATCTGTCTCTGGGATTTTATTATTCATGCTACCTAACCATACTGATCTTCAGAAGTCCCTACCTGGACCTGAAGCTCCTCCCTTTCCTCACACAGCTGCTGCCTCCTGGGCAAGTTCTCCTGGCCAGCCTTGTCTTTTCCAAAAACCCCCTGGGCCATCCCCGGGCCTTGCACAGGGCCGGCTGGGCCTCAGCCAATTGCAGTGTTACTCAGCTCTCATTGCAGCATGGCTGACCCAGAACTTGAGATGATCAGCATCACTGACTGCCGGGACCTGCTGCTCAGCCCTGTCTGCTTGCTCCCTTTTTAAAAAGGCCAACACTGACTGAATACTTACTAGGCACTGTAGTAAATGCTTTAGGGCCAATTTTTAAAAACACCAATGTATTGTGTAGTGTGTGTGTACGTGTACACATGTATGTACATGGTGCATGTCAGAGGACAATTTCTTTCACCGGTACCTGGAGACTGAGCTCAGGTCATCAGGCTGTGTAGCGCTTTTACCCACAGCCGTATCACCGGCCCAACCTTTTTCTTTTTCTCTTTCCTTCTCTCTCTCTCTCTCTCTCTCTCTCTCTCTCTCTCTCTCTCTCTCTCTCTCTCTCTCTCTCTCTCTCTCTCTCTCTCTCGTCTGTCTGAGATAGTACCATGTCACTCAGACTAGCCTGAAACTCCATATGAAGCTAAGGATGAACTTGAACTCCTGCCTCCGCTTCCCTCATGCTGGATGACCTGTGTGTTACTGTTTTTGCACAAAGCTAATTGCTGTGATTTCTTCTCTCCAGAACCGACACTTTGCTGATGTCCTAGGAATGATTAAAATGAAACTTACGAGGTCACCAGCACCTTCCACAGCCACGTGAGAGAACTGGACCTGGGCATGCTGGAGCCTCCGGTGCTGCATCACCTGACACTGGGCCCCATGACTAGAGTGATGCTTAGCACCAAGCTAGGCAGACAGGTAAGGATGTCTTCACTGCTGGGCAAAAGGACAGCCACTGGGGGTAGAGGTAGTAGACAGGGGTCAGGTTACCCAACCTGTCCCCTCCTGTAGAAGTGTCCACTGAGGCAGCCGGAAATAAAATAGAGGGGTGGAGTGGAGAAGGCATTACGGGTGCCACATCGTGGGTGCTTGGATGGGGCATGGTCTATCACCCTACCTGCCAACACCAAGTGGGATGGCAGAGAGGAGGTGCCAGGGCGGAGAGGGCTGCGGGTGGAGCTCTACGGCCTGCAGTAGCTGGAGAGCCGGCTTAGCCTGGTGTGAAAAGAGGATGTCAGACAAGACAGTGTAAGAATAAAGCTTCCCCAAGAGGTCCTGAGGCAACAAGAAAGCCTGGGCATGTGGTCTGCAGCCAGGTTTGCCCAAAGCTTGGGGGTGAGAGCGTCTCCCCCTACAATCGACAGCAGTTACTTGGTTTTTCAGGCACAACGACCCAATCATCTCCAGCTGTCAACCGCAGGCCCAAGACCCCTGTGGCTGAGGCCACGGCCCTTAGCAGTCCCTGGTGGGTGGGTGACAACGCTGTAGACAATGGCCCGCCACTCTGAGATTCTCTGGAGAAGCAGAAGCCTGAAAGCTGGGGTTTGTGCCCCCCTCATAGTTCCTGTACTGAAGGTCCGACTTTCACAGCAGTGGACAGGTGAGCCCCAGGAGGTGACTGGTCACGAGGTAGAACCCTCATGGAAGACCTCAGGCCCTTTAATCCTGCTCCCATGAGTCAGGCACGGCATGGAGACATCCCTGATGACAATGGTGTGCGTGTAGGGCTTCGCAAAGATACAGAACTGCCGGGAACCTGACAACCAGGTGCATAAGCACCTGGTTAATCTGTTGTGCGCAACCACAGTCTGGGAAGAGCCCAACCCTCCTGGTATCACAGCACTGTGAGGAGTTGTAGCGTCACCTCAGAGGCGAGCGGATGGTATTTCTGACTTGGAACAAGTTTACCACGATGGACTATCTTAATAGTTCTATGAGAAGCATCTGCAGTAAGAAGGGTCCTCAAAAAGTTAACCCAGGGAACACTGACCCAGGATTTCTAGCAGACTCTGATGTGGATTCCAGCAGATGTTCGTGAACTCGTATTCCGGGCAGCCTTCCTCAAAATAACCAAAAGCAGAGAGAGTGTGCAAGGAATTAATTCGCCAGCTGCTTTGGTGGGCAGAGCCCCAGGGAAGGCACAGTGGCGCCACCTCAAGTCCAAGGTAGCAGGGACAGACTGTCTGAACCATATATTCACTGGGTCTGGTATTTCCATCCCCCCCCCCCCCCCCCCCCCCCCCC